CATGTTGCAGTCTTTAAGAATTTGATATTCTGTCATATACAATCTATCAGATGTCATGTTGCAGTCTTTAAGAATTTGATATTCTGTCATATACAATCTATCAGATGTCATGTTGCAGTCTTTAAGAATTTGATATTCTGTCATATACAATCTATCAGATGTCATGTTGAGTTGCATAGCTTACCTGGTGAACAGTACCAGTTGTTCCTCTAAGCCAATCAAGAGAAAGAGTTGTGACATCATGCCCACCCACCAAGACACGACCYTTGTCTGGATCATACAGCCTAAGAAGTAAAGAGCCTAGACTACTCTTACCAGATCCACTTGGTCCGACTACCGCTGTCACAGAGTCTCCAGGCACAGTTAGTGATAAGCCTTTGAATATTGGTACATCAGGTCGAGACGGGTAGGAAAAATGGATGTTTTTGAATTCAATGTTTGTAATGCTGTCCAGTTGAGGCACAATACCTCCTGAAAAGTAYAAAGTGCACAAGATGCCTTAGTGGACACCACTTCAAATGTCTATTATTTGGAAAAATACAATTTAAAATGTAATTTTTTCTTCATAGATGCTTAGTAGCTTGTTCCCTTTCAAGTTTTGGATATATTCACTTTCTAAAAGGTTTGCATRCACTTTAAATGTTAAATAATCATGGCAATTAAGGAAAAGATGTAAACATAAAGAAGAATAAGAAAAAGACCCATTATTGCCCCCATGTGCATTAAAGAATCTTTGTGTRATTCTCAAGCTTACAAAAAATCATCTCTTTGATTTTGAGCCAATGCAATAAGCAACTTTCRACAACTAATCTTGAATTTTCAAACAATACAAACAAACTGTAAAGTTTCTCAAATGTTGAATGGAACTTTAATAAGCAAAGAAAATCAATGGGAAAAGGAAAAGAAAGAATATTGACAAATTTGAAAACAAGAAAAAAAATGGACTGAAAAGAGGAAAAATAATATAAAGTATCAATAATCATGATAGAATCACCTCTATGTGGTATTGCTGGAAGTCTGTCAATCAACTGCCAGATTCGTCCACTTGCACCAATGCCTTTCATCAACTCAGAGTAAAATGAACTTAAGCCTGACAAAAAGAGAAAAATGTAAAATAGACAACAGTCCTTAGCAGTTGGGGGCCACACATGACCAAACACTCCTCAAATAATGAAATGAACTTAAGCCTGACAAAAAGCGAAAAATGTAAAATAGACAACAGTCCTTGGCAGTTGGGGGACATGACCAAACACACCTCAAATCAATAAGCTRAATCATGATACCCAGAAATGGAAAGAGTAGGTCAGAATGGTCAGAATAAGAGCACTGTCCATTTAGTTAGACCTGACAATCTATACCTGTCTATTCAGAAGTAAATAATGACTTTCATAGAGATTTTTCATTAATTCTCTAGACATATGATTAAAAAAAAAATTATTAGACAATTCAATATTTTATACATTTCACTCTTTCACTAACCTCCAACTGACACTCCAACAAACCCAGTGTATAAAAGAAAAGAGGTGAGATCTCCWACAGAGATTTGTGAATCGGTCATCATGACTCCTCCACAATACAGGACTGTTAGAACAACACAATTACCYGAAAAACCAGTCTGAAAAAACAAATATAATATATGGATAAAGATTTTCTTATCAGTGAACAATTGACACTATCAACCAATTTTATTTGATAGATAATTCTTATTAATAACAAATATCTCCAATGAATTTTCTACATGCGCATGTTCTTAAATATATCTAATTTCTGCACCTATCCTGTGCATGTATGGCCTAGTRTCACTATTTCTCATACTGCATTTCATGGCATCAGTCTACTAGATATACTATGCAAACACCAAGGGACTATATAAGACACCTAAGTTTGACACATAGTTTCTATCTGCAAACAAATCTCTCAAAACAACTGTAAAYCTATACTCACAAATCCAAAAAACACAGCCCTTGCTAATGCTTCTTTCAATGACAACTTGAAAACATTGTCTATATTTTGAGTGTATCTGTGAAGGAAAGAGACMAAGAGTATGGCAACTATTATCAAAGTGATGTTTTATAGAATGAAGTGAAGCCATAACAGAAGTGCTTTTCGATAGAATGAATATGAATCTTATGATATTTCAGAGATTTTTAAATTTAAGGTCGAGATTGTGAGATTTCCAAAGTCYGATCGACCYAAGAAAAAATTAAATGAGAAATGATACTCTGAGCCTTGTTTTACAAAAACCGAGAAATTCAAAAATTTGTAATTTTTTTTGAGACTTGGCATATTTGAAGGCACCATATMTAATATACAAATGTTAAAAGTACACTTTTTTACCTTTCAATCTCTTTATTTTCTTGTCCAAATGCCCTCACAACCCTGATATTGGAGATTCTCTCTTCAGCAACCTAAACAAAGATAATTTTATGTGGACTTTAATTCATRTTCMAAAATATTGRTGGCAAGTAMTTTTAACTGCATTTGAATTATACAGTCTCATTTGCAGCCAATTTTAGTAAAGTTGAATAGGYTGGAATGGGAACTATAGTGCCTMTATGAGTAAACAAACTTTGGTCATGTATTCACGTGATTCTTTCTAACTCCACTGTACTTCAGACTCATCTGTTTCAATACGTCTTAATCAGCACTAGGGATAGACACCAGCACAATGTGCAGCTAAGATATTCCTTAATGTTCTAAAATAGACTTTGTTTGAATAAACTTTGCTTTAATCAAAAGCCAGAGTTAATTAAAATCTATTTTATATACTATACTCTACCAGTAGAGTCGACACTGTAGGTGCAGCCTCACTTTGATAGTATGATGGAAGTAACCAGTAGAGTACAAGCAGTTACTGTCAATCCCATTAATGTTGCTCTGATTGTAAAGACATAAAGACAGCAACAAATAATTTGCATAAAGATATTTCTGATGTAAAACACCAGATAAATAGCAAATTAAATGTTATTGACATTTTGCCACTTTTAAGAACTTTAAAAAGTTGAATATTTTTGGAAAGAAATTAAAGATATGATATATTCAAACGACTTTGTTGTTSTCTTTACAAGCRAAYAGCAACATTTATGKGATTGACTGTATGTTCTTATATGTATTCTTGAGGTTGTTATACTTCACTATGCTAACTGTGTTACATTACTTTACATTCTGGTTGCTATTTTATTGTTATATYATATACCTGAGTTGAGTCTGCAAGTGAATCTTGTACTTTTCTTGTAATTTTCTTAAGAAATCTCCCATACATGACAGCAGCTAATGCTATGGAAGGCACTATCACCAATACCACACCAGCAAGCTTAGGAGACACATATACCTAGTAAATACATATTAAACTTAAAATCTAATCATATCAAATCACAACAAGAGATATGATTTCATAGACCATTCAGAAATCCCACTTTGTCTACAATTTGTATAATGATAATCTGTTTTTTTTATTTTATTTTTATTTTTTTAATAATAATGCTTAATATGAAAGACAAGAACAAATAAAGTTGGTTCCAACATTCAGTGTTGAAAATTAGTGTTGAAATATAAACAAATTTTCCTGACCATCATTGAAACACCGGCCAAAGCTTGAGCAGTAGCCCTGAGACCATCAGATACATTATCTGTCACAGCTTTCCCAACAAGAATGGTGTCAGCTGACAACCGGTTAATAAGTTCCCCAGTTCTTGTGTGATCAAAAAATGCTGTTTCTTGGACCAATATTGAGCTGAATAATTTTTGTCGGAGGTTCTTTATCACTCTTTGTCCTGAAGTGTTTTGAAAAAATGAAATATAGATAAATGATGGACAGGCAAATGATGGACAAACAAAGTCCACAGACACATCTTATTAATATTTAGTTAGAGACAATGATAATCTACAGAAGCTTGTAAAGATGAAACAGCTTTAGAACATATTTGGATGAAATAAAAAGGGTTTGACATACTACTCTACATCCAAAGAAGTGACAGACGAGAAAACAAAACGCAGCCATAGTTGAAAAAAATACATAACAATGGTAAGACAAGCAAGCCCACTCTAAGGTACAGCCCATAAATAAGGCTAAGCCTCAGCAAGAAATGCTCCATCTGCTATGCAGACCATCAGATGAAATTAGAAATGTATGCTTACAACT